AGTTATGAATTGAGCACAAAAGTGAGTGAATGTGTTCAGAATAACCAGGAAAGGACGGACGCGCTTGTTGCTGGAGCATCCTTTGATGTTTGTGACCCATCATAGTCGATTATGATGACACCTGATCTGAACCTTCCCCAAATTTTCTTCCACGAGCTTTTCCAGGATGGTCTGCAACGCGTGATCTTTTTTAACTTTTTCTTCCGATTCTCTATCGCTCGTTCTCCGCACGTTGATCGACTTTGACTTACCAGCTGACGAGTCCGACACTTGTCTTGTTCTATCTTCCGTCAATCATATCTGTTAGGCTACCCACAAGTCATTCGCATCACAACAACGTACACGTAGTTGGAGATTTATTCGTCTTTGTGAGATGGACCAACCCATTATATCTTCTTTTTTTTTCTAAATAGGGCAACTGACAAGAGGCTGTATCATCTTCATCAAAAACCCTGCTCCTCTGTTTGTACTAGCTTTCCGATCCAATTCAATTCGTGACTTGAAAATGGCCATTTCCCTGTAATTTCAGTTGATTTAATTTCTTCTTAATTGAAACCCTTTGCAAGTGCTTGCAACAACATTGCAATGCTATAAAAAACTTGCCCTCATTCTTGTTATTCTTTTATGCGGGCAGTGTCGCTGCGGAAAATCACCTCATGTGGCAATGTTATCAACATAAGCTACCTATTTCGACTAAAAGGTGATCCAAGGAGCTGCAGCCACCGGAAATACGAGCTAGGTTGAGAAAATAATCACACTATTTTGAATTTATTCTCAAGTAAGTACTACGTGCAGTGAATTGACTACAAAAACCAAAATCTGGCTAGTGATATTGGGCTACAAAAGTGTAATTACTCGTCCCTTCCTCTCTGCTCTTTGTCAGGTTGTAACTTCAGCGAACGTTTGAACCCATATAATTGTGGGAGCTACGATATGGATTTTGCTATGGATTTTTCTCTTATGCCCGACCAATCAGTTTATTGTCTCAACGCATTCATGTCTATGCCCGCTAATAGGCGGACCATTTTTTCAATAATCTACACATTATGGGCATAAAATTCTTTCCCAATAAATCCTACTCTCATACGCCTCAAATAAAACACAAGGTTAAACATTTTATGGCAGTAAGTATATGCTTCTATGGTACAATTTGAATCGATTGTCCTATTTCATTTAGTAATTTTTTTTATTTTTTCCATCGTTAATCCCACAATGATAAGAAGTATCTATAGTTATAATTATGGGGGATGGGATCTTAATTTGAAATAACTCCTTTGGATGTCCCACATGTTAGTCGTAAATATGATGAAACTTTATTTCTAATTTAATTATTATAAACTATTCCTTTTTTAAATAAATATTATCTTCTAAATAAAATTTTGGTGATGTTCTTATGTGAAAGTATCATCAATATGGTCTGCAAAACATATCATTACAATATACCTTATTGTATAACTATATGGTTTGTAAAATATACAGCTTTCAAATAAAATAATATCGTAAAACTATGTTGGAGAATATGAAATTTTTATGGCGATGATATATCCGAAATTTAGGGTTTATTTTTTATTTTAAAAATTAATCTCTGACATAAAGAAAAATCATAAATATCTCTTTGCAAATATGTAGCTGTAAATATATCATATACGGTATCAATAATAATCATTTTGCCAAAAATCTCATTATTTTCTCAATGTATATACTTATATGAATATATCAACAAATACAATATGACCTATTGCTACACTTGTCACGAGGCAGCGACAAATACCAACACAAATATGCAATTAAAGTATCCAGGAAAGTCAAAGGATATTGCCAATAGAAATTCTACATTTATTTTGTCTAGTAACAAAGATGTTTAAACTGTTCATTTTACATTGAATATAAAATATTTTAATATTTGTATCCTTTTTACAAATACCAACACGGTGGTGTCATCCTCTCACTTTCTAAAGTCGAATTCGTCAATGGTCAAGTAGAGTTGTTAGTGCCCTCACATGGACTTTTGTATGCGTGGGGACACGTCGCGCGCGTAAGGAAGTTTCAAAGAAGACTTTTACGTGGAAATTCTATGGCACTAAGAATTTTCCACATCCAATTAACACCGCGAGACCTGTCACTTCAAGAAGACTTTGACTTTGACATTTCTAGAGAAGACTTGTGTGGATGACTCCACGATTGCGAAGGGCTATATGAGTTGGAGCACTCTCCATCACCAAGAAACTCCCTCGTACCCTAAATTAGAAAATGGGGTGGCGTCATGTTTGATTTGTTACATTTTCAAGACAATATGTGATCTTTACATATGCAACGCACATGAACTGTACTGGGACGTATGAAAAGGCACAAATCACGTTACATCTAAAAAAAATTCAAAATTAGAAAAGTTGGGGCTCGTAATTAAAGAAAAAAACACGGGAGAAATTATTATTCTACTAAGATTTCTTTAACATCTTCAAGATGAAAAAAAATATATATTTGATTAAGCAATAATGGATCATAGTTGATTAAGCAAGCTAATCGCATAGAAAAAGGTACATGACATGGCAATTCAGTCATCAAAAGTACTAAATTAATCAATTTGAGGAGTTTGGGTAGTTAATTAAATAAAAAAAAAGAGTTTCGAAAAACAATTTTAATAAAAAGGAATAGACATGGGAAAAATCATTATTTTAATAAGATTTTTCTAACACCTTCAGGATAAATAAAAAACACATATTATGTTCAAACCAAATTTATTACGCGAGTGTTCGGCCACAAAAAAAAAAAAGTCAAGTCGATCAGTACGAAAGATTTTGTTTTTGTACTCCTTTGCCTTGAAGGCCGGGCCAAGGTCGATTGAACTTTGACTTTTCAGCGACCATTCCCACAGCTTCCCGTGTTTGATGGCGTCCCATATTTTGGCCGCTTACACCACAAGTCGCTCGCTTCCCTCCTCCATACGAAGTAGTCATCGTCGGAAATTACTCCCGCTCTCTTCGTCATTTCAAGAAGGGGAGCAAACTAAAAGTATTCCTCTCATCTTGTCTCTCTTTCTTTTACATTGCCACACTAAACAAAACACTAGATCTGCTTAACCAATTCGTGCTCTCTGCTATTGCATAAGCTATGCGCAAAGATCAACTCCTCCTCCTCCTACTCCTCTTTCTACATTAGTCTTTTAGCGTCGCCATCGAAAATAATCAGTGCACAACCTCTTGCGGCGAGATCGCGAACATAAGTTACCATTTTCAGCTTAGGGGCGACCCAAAGGTCTACAGCGACCCTAACTATAAGCTAGCCTGCATAAATAATCGTACCGTTCTCAATTTGTACTCAGACAATTACTATGTACGGTACATCGACTATACCAACTACACGATTAGGGTTGCTGATGTTGGACTGCGAAAGGGCAATTGCTTGTCTCGCTTGTATCATCGTTTAGCATTATAATATTAAGGATGAAATTAACCCAAACTCACTACTCGTAGCACTATGTTGAAAGTTGCGACAAGATTTTCTATTGGAAGACTTTGCATAAAAATCTAGCTAGCGCAAAACTTGCTCTACGCATGGCATCACGGCACTCCAGCGGTCGCTATGTACGCGTTGCTTCATGGTACATCAATTGTCGCTACGAATAATGTTGAAAAATAACGGATGGAGAGAGACAATAAAGAACTTTGATTTGAAGGAGGGGGAGTACGAGATAGTTACCTATACAATAAATAGTGGAATCAAAGAATAGGGGGAGTTATCAAAAGATGATCTCTCCCTTAATAACAATAATACATGAGATTAATTAAATTCTTATTCTATTTACTAGGTTGCTAAAGTTATTTAGTGTTAAATGTGCACTTAAAAAATGATATTAATTTTCCTTTTAAGATTCATTATCTAAAGCTATTACGTCAGGAGGAAATTTTATAATAGGAGATATATGTCATCTTATTAAAACTAGGTTTGAGTATTCCACTTGACTTTATTTCATTTCAAATGCAAATTAGTATTGTCGTGTTCAGTTTTCAAGATCGTCTTAATAATTCCAAACGCTTCCTACTATCATTTTTAAGCAGTACATCACTCTTCATATCAAATCGAACGAACAAGAAATAGGCGAGAGCAAACATAATCCGACTTTAAGAATGGATGTGAAATTTTACAATTTTCACGAATATAATTTCTCCATTTTCAAGATTTGCCTTTCATATAACTTCATTTGCATTTTTCGACTAAGAAGTGAGGAAAAGAAGAACCGAACGGGTGAGTTGCATCATTTACAATTTCACTGCTTTTTTTCTTGGCCGAAATACAATATTTCTGTTTTTGGGCCTCCAAAGATTGCCGAAGGACGCTTTTTTGGTAACAGGTTCCTTAATTTTGGGTTACAGGGGAAAATAACAAAAAGTTTAGGGGACCAAATCCGAAATAATAGAAAGATCACGTCCTTGGATGCAAAGAATCGCCTCGCTATTTTGCTTCCTTCTAGAAGCCTCTTGCTTCAGCGAGGGAGGTCACTTCTAGACCCAAACGCATCGAACAGTTAAATTAAAAAATTAAGCAAAAAATAAAAACTCATTTAGATTCTAATCCCGTGATCTTATCGAGATCACGACACAAAAATTTTCTTGCCAATGACACAAAATTTCTCCCTCTTACATTCTTTTTTCATTCGTCGACGGGTGACGACCGGCAGCGGGAGGCAAGTGGTTGGTGAGGCGTGGTGGTGGCGGGCGACGGGAGGCAACAGTCAAAAATATATTTCTGAAATAGAATGGTTATCATTTGGACTCCTAATCAATGCTCTTCGTCGCACTTCATGATCGTCTCAAACTTCGACCGGTTTTTGACTCCTCAGCCGACCATTCCCAAACTTTTCTGTTTCTCGCACGTCCCATTGTTGCTGGTCGCTACACGCAAAATCACTCACCTCCACACAATTAGTTGTCGTCGGAGATATTATTTTTCCCTATCTCCGTTGATAAATACACTCCTCATTATTTCCAAGAAAGAAACAGAGCAACTCAAAATATTCCTCTCATCTTTTGTCTATCTTTCTCTTCCATCTCAACACTAAACACTCGGATTTTGCCGTGTTGATTCGTGCTCTCTCCTATTGCATGAGCTATGCACAAAGATCAACTCCTCGTTGTTGTTGCTGTTCTTCTTCTTCCTCTCCATCCGTCTTTTAGCATCACCGTCGAAAATAATCAATGCACCACCTCTTGCGGTGAGGTCAATATAGGCTTCCCGTTTCGGCTGAGGGGCGACCCGACGTTCTGCGGCAACCTTAACTTTGAGCTAGTTTGTATCGATAACCGCACCATTCTCGATCGGTGCTCGGGCAATTACTCCGTACGGTACATCGACTATACCAACTACACGATTGGAGTTGCTGATATGGGGCTGCAAAAGGGCAATTGCTCATCTCTTCCTCACCGCTCTTTGTCACGCTACTTCGACTTCATATCAGATTTGTACTCTTGCTGCGATATCGGGGAACTAGATTTATTCAAGACTGTTTTGATCGTGGGTTGCACGAAAGCCGTCGATTCTCACCTTTACATTGACACTTCCTCGTGCCTCGATGGGGTCAAATTTTCGAATTCTTTTGGTACAAGAAGGCGATTGTATGCCATGGTGGATGCGAATGTCTCGAGTGTGGAAACCGGATGCACTATAGAGTATATGGCAATAATACCATGGTGCGCCGACGGCGACAATCTTCGTTCCTACGTGCAAATTCATGAACAGATGGTTCATGGGTTTGAGCTTTCATGGCTTCAAAAAGCCTGTGAGATCCAGTTCAAAGATTGTTATTCGTGCGATATCAACGCTGAGCACCAACTTTATTGCAAGCCCCCGCCCTCGACCGGTAAGGACTTTTGATTCATTCGTTTTTCTCAACAAAAATTAAAATTGTGAAATTTTATTTGGCCAAAACCCGTGAAATTTGATCTAAATGCGAAATTGAGGTCGGTCATCTGTATATCTTGTTGGAGCCCATGTCATTTGAAAATGCCACTATGATCAAGTAGCTAGCTAAATGCTGTTGTGGTATTTAACAAGTATAATACTGAATACAGTTTTATTTATTTTTTTATTAATTTAATTCGAATTCCGCAAACAAATCTTAGTGGATTGAACTTGATAGGTCTAAATAAGTGTCTTTCAAATTTTCTTCTGCTTTCATTTGTCACATATTGTATCTTTTTTTGCAGATATAAATATCCTCGATGAAAATATCCGCGATTACATAGGCGATATTGCCAGGAAGATTAAAATGATATCGCTCCATGGTATCGGTAACATTAAATCTTCTCATTGTGGAATTAATTTTGTGTTTCTAAATGCAAACGTTTAGCACACCCGCAAATTAGTTATACGTATAAGAATAGATACATTGTTGATTCATTTTTTTATACTCAATCCTTGATTGTGGTCTCAACAAAGTATCTTTTAAATTTTCTTCGGCTTTCACTTGTCACATATTCTATCTTTTCTGCAGACGAAGATATCGACGTTCACCTCTTCTATATCCTCTCCGATATTGTCGGGATTATTGAAATGATCTCGCTCCATGAAATCGGTAACATTTATACAATCTTCTCATTGTGGAATTAATTTAATGTTTCTAAACGCAAACATTCAACACACCCACAAATTAGTTATAGGTAAAAGAATAAATACATTATTTATTGATTTTTTAAACTCAGTGCTTGATTATGGTCTAAATAAGTGTCTTTTAAATTTCTTCAGATTTCATTTGTTACAAATTCAATCTCTCTTGCGGAATAGGGACCAAACGTTACCAAGATGCGATGCACTGTCTCTTTGGCATTGGTAACATTACTACCGCCTTCTCGTTGTGAAATTGATTTAATATTTCTAAATGCAAACGTTTAACACACCCACAAATTGGTTATTGGAAATATAGTGTTTGCATTCATGGTTGTGAAATTCATCTTGGGAGCCCCATGCGTGATGATGTTGCTAATACGCAAATGGAGGAGAAGACACTTAGCAATGGATCAAAACGTTGAGGATTTTTTGCAATCTAATAACAACTTCTTGCCGATAAGGTATCGTTACTCAGACATCAAGAAGATCACGGGCGGCCATAAGGTCAAACTAGGCAAGGGAGGGTATGGTTCTATGTTTAAAGGAAAACTCCGGAGCGGCGGCGAGGTGGCAATCAAGATTCTGAAGAAGGGGAAAGCGAATGGGCAGGACTTCATTAGCGAAGTGGCCACCATCGGAAGAATTCATCATGTTAATGTGGTCGAACTCATCGGCTTTTGCTTCGAGGGCTCGAAACAAGCTCTTGTCTACGATTTCATGCACAATGGATCTTTGGATAAGCACATTTTCTCACGAGGAGAGGGGACTTCTCGTGATGGCAAGGAAGTGTACGAGATTGCTCTCGGAGTGGCTAGAGGGATCGAGTATCTTCATCGAGAATGCGACGTGCAAATTCTACACTTTGATATTAAGCCTCATAACATTCTTCTCGATAGGGATTTTACTCCAAAAGTTTCCGACTTTGGGCTCGCAAGATTGTATTCCCCGGACCACAACACCGTGTCTCTAACTACTGCAAGAGGAACCTTGGGATACATGGCTCCGGAGCTGGTCTACAAGAACATTGGGGGAATCTCTAACAAAGCCGATGTCTATAGTTTCGGCAAATTGTTGATGGAAATGGCTAGTGGGAGGAAGAATGCGGACGAGGTTACAGAGTGTTCCGGTTATACTTACTTTCCTTTATGGGTTCATGACCAACTAAGTGAAGGATTGGACGTTCCAGTGGAAGAAATAAGCGAGGAGGATAAGAGAATAGTAAAGAAGATGATGATAGTTGCTCTTTGGTGCATACAATTGAATCCTAGCGAACGGCCTTCGATGCACAAAGTCTTGCAAATGCTCGAAGGAGAAGTAGATGATCTACAAATACCTCCCAAGCCACTCTTTTATCCAACAGAAATATCAACAAGGGAAGATGGAACTTGGACTAACAATGACAAAGATACAATTTCCACTTCATCGACTAGTGAAATAACTTATGAAGATTATCATTTTGAGCATACTAGCACTAGTATTACACAGGTCTAGTCACATATCAAAACCAGTGATCCCGTCACATTTGTGGCAAATTGAAACGTGGTATTGGTGTTGTTTCATGGGTAGCTTCCCTTTCTTGTCTTGGCCATCATCATATTGTAGATATGTATGACTATATTTATGGATCTTAATTACGCCGGTATCATCCTTTAGCATCATCAATTAAAGATGTTCATTAGTTATAATGTGGACTTTCCAATCCAATAGAAAATCTAGTGACGACTTTCACCATAGTGTTATGAGGTGCGAGTTTGAGTTCCGAAGTCTTTGCTTAAAATTCCAGCTAGCACACAACCCGCTTTACGCGTGGCTTCACAGCGGTCCACCGATCGCTATGTATAAGTTGCTTCACGGTGCACCAATTGCCGTCGTGGTTTAAAGGAAAGGGAGAACAAGACAGCTACCTTCACAATAAATAGTGGAGACTTTTATTGATTACGTAAACATCGAATAGAAAATAGTGGAAGACATCGAAAGATGATCTCTCTCTAAAAAACAATAATACGTGAGATTAATTAAATTCTTATTCTAATTACTAGGTTGCTAAAGTTATTATAGTGGCAAAAGTGCACTTACAAAATGAAATCAGTTTCTCTTTTAAGATTCGTTGTGCAAGGCTATTACATCATAGGAGGAAATTTTATTCGAGGGGAGAGATATATGTCATCTTTATTAAAACTAGGTTTGAGTATTCTACTCGAGTTTAAATTTATTTCAAAGCAAATGAGTATCGTCATATTTAGATTTCAAGATCTTGTTAACTGGATGCTTCCTACTATCATTTTTAAGCAGTACATCACCCTTCATATCAAATCGAACGAACTAAAAATAGACGAGGGCAAGCAAAATCTCATTTTGAGAATGGATGCGAAATTTTGCAATTTCTGTGAATTTAATCTCGCCATTTTCAAGATTTGACTTTCATATAACTTCATTTGCATTTTTTTATTAAGAAGTGAGGAAAAGAGAATCAAACAGAGCATTGCATCATTTGTAATTTCACTGCTTTTTTTCTTCGCTGGATACAATATTTCTGTTTCTGGCCTCCAAAGTAGGGGTGTGCAACGGGAACCGCCTGGACTGGCCAGTTCTGGCGGTTCCACAAGTCACCCGGTTTGGATCCTGATTTCATAAAATTGGAACCGGTGATTTTCAATCCGGTTCTCAGTTCCACATGAAATCGGACTAGACCGGACCGGACCGAACGGATTATTTTTCAAAATTTTTATTTTTTTAAAACAATTTTAAAAATAATCATTTGAACTCTTAATTATTAGGGATTTTCTCAAAGTCCAAAGATTCCAAAGAAACACTTTTTCGATAACAGGTTCCTTAATTTGGGATACTGGGCGAAAATAAACAAAAAGTTCAGGGCACCAAATCCGCAATAACAGAAAGGTCGCGTCCTCGGATGCAAAGAATCATCGCCACGCTATTTTGCTTCCTTCTTGTAGTCTCTTTGCTTTAGCGAGGCAGGTCGCTTCTTCTAGGCTCAAAACGCATCGAACCGTTAAATTCAAAAATTAAGCAAAAAAAAAGAGAGAAAGAAAGCTCATTCGGATTCCGATTCTCGTGATCTTATCGAGATTTCTGCTCTTTTCTAGGTTCCATCTCCACTGTCTTTTCTTGTGCGATTGTTCCCTTCGAATCGCAGTCCCAATCCACACTTGCCTGACGGTGACGAAGACGGAGAAGAAGAAGAAGAAAGCGATGAGCGACGGCGACGCGGTGCGGCACTTGCCTGGTGGGGATGCCGGTGGAGCCCCGGGCACACCCCACGAGCCAGCATGCCGCCACGTGGGTCGCCAGCGAGGCCCGCCCCGCGAGCTTCCACTCCAGCTACATGATCGCCACCCCGAGCGGCTCGGCCTCTGGCTTTGCCAGCCTCAACCAGAGCGGCGGTGGCGGCCAGAACCCGTACATCCACGTAGCTCCACTGAATGCTTCTGTGCCACCTGGCAGGAGTGAGTACCATCAAGGCGTATTCTCGAGTCGGAAGTTATGGTTGATGATTAGGCTGTTGAGGATGGTGTTGATGAGGCTGACGCTTTCCTGGTGTTTGTTTGCAGGTCCGATGAACAAGATATGCGACACGTTGAACCGGTGTGGGAAGAAGTTCAAAGATGCTTCGCGAAAAGCAGAGGCGCTCGCGGACAATGTCTGGCATCACCGTGAGTATTCTCTACAATTTGGATTTATTCGTGGAGACGTATCTGATCGCTTGCTTGCATATGTTATTTCTCTGTTTCTGAAATATAAGCGAATGCTATGGAAGTAAATATTCAATGCAAAGAGTCTGGTACTTTGTTCATCATTGACGTCGTTTGTCCGGCATGGTGGTCTCGTACCATTGCGGTCCTGTGGTTTTAGGAATCAGTTCAAACGATCAGTCATCGGCTTCTTTTGGAATTACCACCAAGGAACTAGCATACATGCTTCATAATCTGTGTATTCAATCCGCCAATTAGATGTTGAGTGGATCAAGTCCATTGATTATTTATCTAAGAGGAGCTTCAACTTTGATGAGCGGTGCTATCTTCGGCGCTTATTCTTTTGGCAATCTATTTCGATTCCTACTTATAGCAAATTGCCAAATGCATAACAAGGCACTTCCGTCGAGGACATGGTTTGTTTTCCATAATTTTCTGAAGCCATCCGGACCCACTGGGCTCTTTGCTTGACTGAACGTTGGGCTAGATGAATGATCGTCTCTTGGCTCTCCATCTTTTTCCCTGTGAAGAAGAAGAATTAGCTTTGTCCTGTAAGAGCAAGCACTGCAGCTGGCTTGTTGTCCGTTCTTTAGTTTATTTGTGACTTGTAAGAGACAAAGCCCGTAATTTCTTTGATTCTTGTCTCCTCATGGTTTCTAATCGATTGAAGTGTGATGTTCAGAAATCGATTCTTGCCTGACCTTGACTAATTGGTAATTGTGCTATTCTTGTGTGAAACAGTTAGAACCAGCCCTAACATCACAGATGCAGCGATGGCTCGACTTGCTCAGGGGACAAAAGTGCTCACCGAGGGGGGACAGGATAAGGTATTTCAACATACGTTTGAGATTCAGCCAGGAGAGAAGCTCCTGAAGGCATATGCTTGCTATATATCCATTTCCACTGGGCCTGTCATTGGGACATTGTATTTGTCAAACAAGAGATTGGCCTTCTGTAGTGATAACCCTCTTTGCCAATACTCTCCCTCAGGGCAGCAACAGTGGATGCATTACAAGGTAACCTTTTCCATTCTTCCTGTAATTGCATTTACTCTAGGATTGCGGTTTCAAATTGGAAAGCGCTGACCTTTTGTCTGAATCATGATAAGTTTTTGATGCATGACAAATTCCTAGCCTGAGTTATTATTTTCGTTTCCCCTCTTGTGACTGGCCTGAGTTATCATTATCGTTTCCCCTCTTCGGAGAACCTTCACTGGAAAGGACCTTCATTTTACTCATTGTCTGTATTACTTCACTGTGCCTTGGATCATTTTTCCATCATTTTGTTCTTATCTAAGCATGAAGCATCTGAATATAGTGAAACATACCCTGGAAAAAGTTTGCTCCAGCTCTGCTGAGCTTCCCTCTCCAACCATCAGTTTTTAAAGTGCTTTCTTCCTGATTGACTGTCTAGGTGGTTCTGCTGCTCGATCAGTTGAGCACTGTTAGTCCTTCTTGAAGGAAACAAATTCCTAAATATAATACAAAAAAATTGCGGAAAAACGTGTCCATTTTCATACTTGAATCACCGATCGTTTGAAGTATATTACATGAACGAACATACCTCTTTTGCCACAGATTAAATGCACTTATCGCAGCCTCGAGAGAAAGAACAATCCTTAGATCGTTGAACAAAATCCATTCTCCTTTGTCCTTTTGTGAGAATAAGTTTCTGATAATGAAAAAAATGCAACACGCACCCACTCATACGTGTGTTCTCACTTTTTGTGTCTAGACAATAACTGCCAAGTGCAGTTATTTCCTTTCATGGGCTGGGTTAGCCCATCATGAGCGGCCCATCATTCACAAATAAAACCCATCATCTCCCACTCGCACATGGTGGGCTAAACATTAACTCTCTCTTCTGTGCAATATTCATACTAGCAAATAATCCGTGCGACCAATGTCACGCCCCGCACTCCTCGGCGCGCCACATCCCTCGCAAAGGTCGATTCGTGTGTGACGTCCCAGGACGCGTCGCCGACCCAACACCCAACACAGAGATTTAAAGCGCATGCGGAAGTAATTAAAACCACCCGTACATTAAAATACACATAATCAAGGATAGCCATACAACAACCAGCACGGATAAATATACACTTGTTTTGACATCGGGGAACATATACAATATTCATATACAGCCCACGCTCAAAAGTCAAAAGCGGGTACGTGGCTCGGCGATCAAACACTATATCTAGCCGGGGCTCCTCCCAAAACGTTTCAATACGCCCGCCATCCTCGAGTTGGGGTCCGAAAAATTGGGTTTCAACAACAGGAGAATAAATCTCGTGAGTAATTCCCTAAACCTAAATTAGGCTAAAGTGCACCTCCTGACGAGTACTAAATCAACACACCAAGCAAATCATAATTGACTTAGGCCGTCGGGCCCAAATCCAACACTCACCTTGCCCTGCAGGTTAGGCACTTACAGTTCAAGCATAAAACATAGAACCCAATCGCAGCACACGTACACATCATTTGGTCACAACGCATATCATGCTTATGCTCGTGCTCATACGCGTGCTCACGCCTCATCAATGCATTTTCGCACGCTTGCACTCAGCACACTTGCCATTTATCAATTTCTCCTCCGACCCGCGTTAAACGCATCAGGTCCGACCCGCGTAAAACGCATCAGGTCCATCACTTCGAGATCGATCTCTAGCTCGCGTAAAACGCATCAGGCTCATGGCACAACACCCGCGTAAAACGCATCAGGTTTGGCCATCTTCCGGTAGTCCGGGCATCGTCCCGCGTAACACGCCTCAGGACGGGTTCACTACCCCGCGTAAAACGCATCAGGGTTTATTGTGATCACACATTCACAAACACCCATTTTCATCTGAACCCCGCGTTAAACGCATCAGGGCATTTTAGGTGATCACAATGCACATGTCACTCGAGCACACTTGTAAATGCACATGCCGTGCCAATGCTCGTGATGCAAACTCATGGCCATAAACTTCACACTCGGGCATTCACGATTTCACAATGGACATTCAATAGCACAACGCCAATTAATTAGTTCACAGTGCACCATGTCCAATCAACATTTCAATATGCCCAACCCACATATTAGCACGACCATGAAATTCAATTCAAGCACTCATGCACGGTACACAATTCACGCGTATAAATCACACAATCAGTTCAGCATGAATCCACAGAAATTGAGGCCCATCACATTACTCCCTTCCTGATAGCATTAGGCACATGTCATGGCACTACAAAATCACTCGCATTTAGGGACAATTCAACCACTAGTTCGGTCAATCCATCATTTCCGGCACTTACACTCCAAACCTCAATTCAATCGCGCCTTGTCCGACTAATTTCCAAAGTGGACAGCCACTAAATCAATTGCGCCGGGCCATTTAATGACCTCAAAATGTTCCACTAGACTCCCCAAGACACCATTTTAATCAGCCACCATAATGCCAAATAAGGTGCGCACTAGAATCCACATTTTAAACCCGAAACTTCCCAAACTTGGGCTAATCCGATCCAAATCTGTCCAGCCAATACTTGGCGCTTCTCAGGCTACTAAACCTCCATTTATTTATCGAACTAAGCCCGTAGAACAGCCACCAAAACAGCCACCACCCGGTCTATCAATTTCATCCACTAAGTTTGCCATTTTGTCTAAATCTCGGCACCCATGCTTCGCCACATCACAGCACTATACGGGCCGCTAAACCTCGACTAAATAATCATCCTTGGTCACCAAAAACACCACCGAACCAGCCCATATCACCCTCCACCATTTAGCCCCTAATTACCCAAATTAACCCCTAAAACCCATCTAGAAATGCAAATTGTCCTAATTAGGGCTTAGGGTCAAACTCACCGGATGTCCTAAGCTTGAAACGAGCCGAACACACGACGAAAAGGGGCTGGGCAGCGGCAGTCCCTCGCCGGAACAGTAACGGCTGTGGCGGCTCCGGCGAACGACGCGAGCGGCGGCGACGGTCTAAGCTAATCCACGACCTAGAGAGGGAGAGAGAGGCACGGTCAGAGAGAGAGAGAGAGAAATGGAACGGCTGGTCGGCTGGGCGAGGCGACGGATCCGCGCCGGAACAGTGACGGTGGCAACGGAGCTCCTCCGGCTCAAGGCCTCTCACGATCAAACCGAGAGAGAGAGAGAGAGAGAGAGAGAGAGAGAGAGAGAGAGAGGGAGGAGAGGGGACTTGCCGGCTACTTGGGGTGAGAGGGATGGCGGCCCACGGCGACGGCACCGGCGAACAGCGGCGGCCGGGCGCGACGGGCAGCAGCGGCGGGAAGAAGTCCAGAACAGGGGAAGGCTTCGGGGGAGAGAAAAACAGGGGAAAGGGGGAACCGGGGGTCTCGCCGGAGCAGCAACAGCAACGGCGGCGACGGGCAAGATGGATAGGCAGACGACGCACGGCGGAAGGACGAGCTGCGGCGTCCGCTGGTTCGGGCGGAGACGGCACCTGCGCACAGCTCGGGCGAAGCTGCCGCGCGGCGCGGCGGCGCGGCGACGGTGCAAGGAGGACGGCGGCGTCGGCGGCTGGTAGGGTGGCGTCGGGCGGAGCTGGATGGGCGGTCGAGCAGCAGCCGGCGAGCAGAGCAGGAACGAAGCAGAACCAGGCGAGTTCGGGAAGGAAGAAGGAAGAAAAAGAAGAGAAAGAAAGAAGAAAAGAAAAAGAAAGAAAGAAAAGAAAAGAAGAGAGAGAGAGAGCAGGTGGGAGTTGGTGAGCTGAGGGGACGTCTGCCAAGGGGAAACGTGCGCGCAGAGGAGAGAGAGAGAGTAATAATAATAAAAAAACATTAACTTCATTCAAATATTAAATGCGATCCGATGGCCCAAATTCAAAATCGAAAGCGATCTACCAGTCCAAAATAAGCCTCGCATATAAAAAGGGACAAAGGCCGAATTAATTAAGTCAAACTATAGCGAGGGAGGTCTACTAGTCCAAATTTGCACCTGGTCAAAAACTCCCCTTTTTCCATCATTCCTGACAATCTCAACGTTGGCTACCATAATATTGACACCGTCCAATTTATTTCGCCCCGACACTCCCGAAAATCGATTGCCAAGTCCGGGGTCTAAATAACGGCCAAATTCGATCGAGTGCAATTCTAGCAAAATCTCTATTTTAAAAAAAAAAACAAGAACCCGAGAGTGATCAGTTCCCGGGCGAGATTCTATTATAAGTGCACTGACGAATTACACGTTTTATAAATCCCAAAAATGGGCCGAAATTCGGGATGTCACAACCAACATACTTCGAGAGCTCGTTGCGATGCATCTGTTAGGAATCCATAGCAGCTCAAAATTGGGCATTACGTTATCGAGTAGATATAGTATGCAATACCCTAGATCAATCAGTCACATTTATATCTCTCTTGATCTCTTTTAGTATCTCGTATATTGTATTCACAACTATGATTTACTTAAAATCATAATTGGTCGACCTGTGAATACAAAAATAGAATGTGACATCATAAATAAATTGATCTTCCTCTTTTCTTAAACCTCTCTATTTCAGTCCAGCACGCTTTTCTAGAAATGCCCCATTAGATCGAATCATTCATGACCATTGGCAACACCCTAAGATAGCGAACACTGAATAAAAACTTTGAGAATAAGTCAGAGTCGTGAGGGTACTAAATGAGGAACTCTGTATCCTCAAGAGTCTCACACGGCATAAAGTTGAGATCAAGAACTTTTGCCACTCTTATCGGTCGTCTCATGCATACGTAGTATGAAATACGTATTACAGTATTAACTCCTTTCCCATTGAGCGTATGTCTTTACATTCAATACCGTACAGATGATAGTTCAGACATACTCAATGTCTAAACTTGAGTTCACGTATCTACTCTTCTAAAGAATCCATTAGAACTCATATCTGGCATCAAAGACAGATAAAGTAAAATATGTGGACTATTTTACTTTCGGACATAGTAAATGTTATGTCCTCATCTTAGCATTTAGCTAAGGCGACATTTATATTTTAAGCTTGAGCTCTCGATTATCACCTAGATAATAATAAGCTTAAAAATTGTCTCATCTCTATTTATCACATAGTAAATAGAGGCGATTACTCGTGTGAGTAGGTTAATCTTATCTGTCCGACATACTTTCTTGACATAATACACTAAGTATTAAGATGCATAAATAAAAAAAAATCATAGGCATTAACAATGATATAACAATTTCATTTAAATGTGAACATTCAGGGAAATTACAATATTCAGTACATCAGCATCTACGCAGTCCTAGAGATTTTACATGACCATTGAAAACATCTCTAGGAATTGGCTTCGTCATAGGATCTGCTATCATTCTATGCGTAGATATGTACTGCAAGTTCACATCCTTTCGTGCTACCATATCTTTAACAAAATTGTACTTGATATCTATATGTTTGGTCTTGCCATGATATTTCAGATCCTTGGTGTATGCTATCGCTGCTTGACTATCACTATTGACTA